ACCGATGTCGGGAAGATTGTGGATGTTAAGTATGTTCATCTGTTGAACACATGCATATGCAGGTAAAGCTAAAATGATTTTGCTTTTTGAGGTGGATCGGCCCTTGTGTGGACTGTTCCAGCTGAATGCTCCAGAAATACTCAAGAGATCAAGAACTCGAGAACTCACAGATCAGACCCGGCGTGAACCACAGGAAGGTGGACTGGGACTTCTTTGACTAGAGCTCAGTCTTTAAAGCAGTGGTTCTCAACCTGTGGGTCACGGCCCCTTTGGGGGGGTCAAACGACCCTTTCACAGGGGCCGTTCGATTCATCACAGTAGCAAAATAGCGGTGATTGAAGTAGCAATGAAAATAATTTTATGATTGGGGGTCACCACAACATGAGGAACTGTATTAAAGGGTTATGGCATTAGGAAGGTTGAGAATCACTGCTTTAAAGTATGAAACGATTCATAGGTTTTCATAAGTCACAAAGAGCAGCATTTCCCAATCACTTCCAATATAAGCCCTACCCCTGAACTTTCTAGAACTTGTCAATCGTTGCCCCTCAGACCCCTTTTTATTAGTATCTATTATGTACTTGCCTGGGACTACATATGGGATAAATATACTCGAGTATAAACCAACCCGAATATCAGTTGAGGCATCTAATTTTAACACAAATACTACATTAAAAATGTGCTGGAAAACTCGGCTTGTATATAAGTATATATGGTATTTTATCACTCCAGGTTAAAACTCGAGTAAAGATACAGTAGAATGCCTTTTCCGTCATAACACTATGGTTTTACTATGCTTATAAGAAAAAAATATATATATAAAGATGTGTTAGTCTGGGTAGACTAGAGAAACAAATTCATAAACATGCATAGGTATATAAGGGAGAGGTTTTTATACAAGAGGAATTGAATATTGAGAAAACATCCCAACCCAGTCCAGTCCAAGGCCATAAGTCTGATATTACCCCATATGTCCAATACCAATCTATAAAGTCCTCTTCAGACTCACGAAACACATGCAGTGACACCAAATGTAGAAGGTCACAGGCCAGTGGGTAGAAAGTGTTTGGTGGTAGAAGCATCTCAGTGCTGGCCAGGGGTCTCCATGTGGCCATTCCAGTTCCCAGGGCTGCATCAGGGTAGGTCCATGTGGCATCTCCTCAGGGATGCCTCGCAGGAAGTCAGCCTTGTCAGTAGAGAGTCTCCAAGGGAGTGAACCGAGAGAGAGGTGGCTTCTGCCTCCAAGAAGGAAGTACCAGATTTCCCAGAATTCTCAGGAGAAGGTTATGCCCATACAGAAGTTTCACTGACTATCTCCAGATTGACAGCCTAGACTCCACCCCTACACTATTGATCCTTAAATTGACACCAGATTAGGTGACTACCACAAAAGATATCCTAATTATTTGCTTTACTAAATCAATCTAAAAACCTACAGTAAGAAACCAGGGGAACGAAGTAGGGGTAGTTTCTTACCGTGTAGTGGAAGCCAGTTGAAGGGTCACACTATGCAGGCTGCACAACCTGTGGGCTCGCTCTCTGTGTCCGAAGGTCTTCTTGAGTTTAGAGTACAGGCACGCATTTTGCCAGCTAAGTGTTCTTGGAAGGGAAGGAGGACTGGATTATCATGGGAATCCAAGATGCAGGCGGGGCCCTCTGGCCCTCAGGATTGGAGGTTCTTAGACATAGGTGCTTGTTTTCTCCTTGGGGACCCTTTACCTGCTTCATGGCCTTGAGTTGACCTCTCGGTCCCCCTTATCTTTCTGCTCCAGCCCCGGTGGGGGTTAAGAACAGGAATGAATGGTCCCCACAGGTCTGGGAGAGCCAAAGTCCAATCAGGGCCTCGACCACGTGGAGTCTGAGAGAGGAGACATTCCAGGGGTGCCTGGAAATCTTTGGCCTCCCTTGCCTCGCAGCCGACTCCTCCCATTTTGTGTTTCCCCCAGTGCGATTCTATATAACCCGCTGGCCTTTGTTCCCTCTAAACCACCGCTCCAAGGGCTTTGGATGCTGCCCCCCCCCCACGTGGCTATGACTTCCTAACTTAACCATAACATTGGGAAAGAAAGAGTCAATTTTCCCAAACAAGATCCCATTTCCTGGTGTAGAACTTAGTACATCAACATGTCTTTTTTTTGGATGGGGTGGGAGGTGGGGAAGCACTGATCAATCCAGTGCAGGTGCCCACAGCCATCCTTCCCGACGTCTCTTGACATCATGTCTGTTGTTCCCATCCCGAGGGGGCTGCCGCTGCTCTCCTAACTGGAAGACCCACCACCTGGTTCTTACTCTCCACCTGGGCCTTGCTGTACAGCTGTGCCGGGCCTCTGCTTGTTTCTCTGTCTTATCCACATTCCCGACAAACGAGCACCTGGCCTAACTTGCTCTTGTTAGAAGCTTTCCATGCCAGAAGATCCCAAAGGCCAGCGTCCTGTGTGTTCAGCGGCCCCCCCCCATGTCCCTCACTAGGACAGAGGTCCGATGTGGTGTGTCGCCCACTCAGGCTGCTTTGTAGCCGAGCAGAGAGCTGAGCAGTACTTCTGAAACAGGCGCCTGGCAGAGATGATTGTGGAGCCCTGCAGGGTAGTGGGCTGTGAGGAGCAGGTCGGATTGGAGCAGGCTGGCATCAGACGAAGGGTACTCTGGGACAAAGTCACCAGCAGGACAGGGCTCTGAAGGCCAAGTGGTTGTTAGGTCACAAGGACTCAATCACCCCTCTCCTGTCCCAAGAATGGGCTCGGCCCTTGCTGAGAGGCCAGAAGCCGAGGGGCTGTGGGAGAGGAAAGTGGGTGGGTAGCCTGGAGGCTGAACAAACACGGAGAGCAGCAATCACTGGAATGGCCGAGGAGGGAGCAAGAGTGGTGGGTAGGGTGGGGCGGGGAGCGGGGTGAATTTTAGGGGAGTTGAAGCTTCCTGGTCAGAACCAGGAGGTACAGCAGCCAACTCCCAACATGGAAAACCGGAGTCTTCAGTCATGGAGAAGTGAGGGCATAGAACTCTCTCGACTTGGGTCCCACATATTCTTTGCACCATCTCCGCCTATATAATCCAGTAGCTGTTGCACTTCGTGCAGCCAGTCCGGGCCTCCCTTGCCCATGGACAGGCGCTGGCCTTCCTTTGTGCCTGTGATCTCAGTCAGGGTCGGGCTGGAGGGCCAGTGTGTCTGGGAGTTCCCCACAGGACTCCTGTCCTGTCCCCGTTGCTCTGCACCCCGTGTCTGGCCTCCGGGACCGAGTTTGACATCTGGCTTCGTTCAGAAAGAGTGCCACGGACCTCGCCTGCGGAATCTGGAGACCCGTGTGGTCCGGCGGGGCGGGGCCTGGGGCTGACGTTTGGTTCACTGTACATGCTTGTTTTAGATTGTGTGCTTATGACCAGCATGAAGAGGGGCTTTGAGAAAAACAATTTCTGCATATAGATAGATGTGACCCAGTGTATGGAATCCTGAGAGGCAGGCACCTGACTTTGCATCACAGATCAAAAAGGACCATTATTTGCTGACAGCAGGGGCTCCCTGAAAGATACCAGCAAGCCCTTTAAACTTGCCCAGCAGAGCTGTTGCTCATCTGGAGAAAGGGTAGTAGCGCCTGCGGTGTCTACCTCGTTAAAGTCTTGAGTTGTGCATATGAGAGTGTGCGCACGTGTGTGTGTGGTGTGTTGGGGCATGGGCTGGAGCAGAGATGCTGCCTCATCCAGGGACAGTACACAGAATCTCTTCCTCCTTTGGAATGCCTTGAGAACAGGTTCAGACGCAGGCAACTACTGGCCCTTCAGTAATAGTTCTCCCTTTCTTTCCTAGTCCTCTTCTGTAGGTGCCCCTTCCTTGTGTTTGTGGAGCGATTCTCAACCTGGGGGTCATGACCCCTTCACAGGGGCCGCCTAAGACCATATTTCTGATGGCCTCAGGAACGGAGACACTGCTCCTCTAGCTGTCTCCAGGCAGGTCTGCCCACATGCAGATACACTTGCCTACAGGGTCACCACAACATGAGGAACTGTATGAAAGGGTCGAGGCCTTAGGAAGGTTGAGAACCACTATGCTAGTGTCTTGATTTCAAGATGTCCTGTGGCATTTAGCATTCCTTAGTCCCAGGTTGGGAGTAGGGGGTGGAACTCAGCCCGAAGATCCTCCCCCCAGCGAATACCCAAGTGGCCAGTATAGCCTTGTGGTCTGTTGGTCCTTAATTTGCAGAACTCTTCAATCCTCAAGTTTGGCTTGCCTGCCCCCTAGTGGCAGGTCGGGCACACGCCTTGTTACCTCGTGTATTGGGGCCTGATGGACAGCTGCTCTCTCTCCACCCAGCTTTTTATCACTATCACTCCCAACGGGCAAATGTGGAAGCCGAGGTTCGTTGGCCCTGATGACTTGCTGCTCAGACCTGAGGGCGGGGGCGGCTTCACAAAGCTCCTGGGGAAATTCATGGTCTTTTCTTTCCATTGGCTCGCAAACTTCATAGACGTCTCGTACAGGGGAAAGTGAACTTTGACTTCGGAGCTGTTGTTCATTCCCTGATGTATGCAGTGTGAACGAAGGCTACAAGGAAAAAGATGACACGCTGGGTGGGGATGTCTGTTCTGTTTTGTTTTATTTTCCCCCCTTTAGCATGGCTTAAAAAATATCCGTGATGATTTCACTACCCGCTCAGCGAACCTGGGAGGATCAAACTCTGATGGCAGTTTGACTGTCCTGTTTTTTACTCCTCCTCCTCCTCCTCACGTTAGAAAACCCTGTAGCACTTACGGAGGGTTCTGGATTTTCTGCTCAGCCCTGCAAACACTTTGGGCGGGGGGAGGAGGGGGAGGAAGCAAGAAGAATGTACGTCGTGCTATCTGGCCTGACTAGTTTGTATGTTCGTTACATTCCACTTATGTGGCGTTCACATTTACTTCCTTGGGGACACACCTCAGTAGATTGCACACTAACACTGAGTGAGGTTTGATTTTTCGATTTCGTCTTCGGGACAGTCGGAGTCGCTGAGCATTCGCTTGTCTCCCTCCAGTCCTTTTCCGTGGAGCGAGAGCCACAGGAGAGCAATTACCCAGACGAACCCTGGCGGATAACAGAGGAGCAGCGGGAATACTACGTCAATCAGTTCCGATCCCTGCAGCCTGACCCAAGTGCTTTCATTTCAGGTAATGAACTTGGGCCGTGGGGGGGTGGGGGTGGGGCGAAGGTGGGGCTCCCAGGTCATCATGACCTTATAAGCCGCACTAACCAGCTTGAGAAATTGTTTAAGCCCAAGTCCCACCGACGAGCACCTGCCATTCCAATTTGCTTCCCTTTCGGATGGCATTTCTCAGCCACTACAAACCAGGCAGAAAAAGGAAGACAAAACAATATCCCAAAGAAAAACAAAATGCTTTGGCCAACAACACATGCGTTTGGGAAATGATGATTTCATTTCAAAGGGGTTAAGTGAGAATTTGGGGGAACCTGGTCCTGACCCTATGCCATTCAAAATGGAGCAGGGCTTGAGGGAATGGAACCCGGCACCCAGGCAGTATCTGAAATTGCTTACTAATTACAGTTGTTTTAGAGCAAGGACATATCATAAGGAGTAAGTGTCGCAGTCTTCTTTGTGGGACACAGGTACAATGCACACCAGATTGGCAGTATGATAAACTGTACTTTGTGACTGCCCGTTTTTGTTTTAAAATATATCTTATTAATAATAAGGTGCAGTGTTTAAATCTCAGTTGTTCACTTGCAGATGTTTGATTTTATGATTTGTGGCTCAACACTGCTAGATTTATAGTATTCACGGCCTAAAAAAAAGGTATTTGGCTTAATGTCAGAATCTACTTCAAGAAGTTGTTGGAACGGAATACTGTCATAAGTCAAGGGGCTGCCTGTATTCATGGGTTCAAATTCATGTTCATTTTAGTTGGCTCAGGTCCTTATATAATTTTTTTCCCTAAGAGAAATGAAAATGTGGATGGAGAACTGGCCAACATATTTATGTCCATAAATAAGTGTTCCCTTCTTGGTTGTCTTTAGAAATATGTGTTCTTATTCAAACCGAAAGAAACCAACTTAATTGTGGTGTGCCAACATTTTATTGGGCTAACAAATAATCAGTGGAATAGATGAATTTTGGAGAGAAATTCATAATAGTTCTCTTTGTATTTCAATCTTAAAGAATAACAGTATTATTGTATTTGCAATGGGACATATTGAAGTGTGGGATAAGACTAATTTTATCTCATGAAACAAGGTATGTAATTAAAAGACAGATAAAAATGTAAGCATCATTTATTGATTATCAATATCTTTGTTGAAGGCAGCATATTGAAGATACAAAAAAATTAATGTTGCCAACATGATTGAAAAAATGAGGTGTCTAGATTGCACTTATTGATCCCTTGCTACCATTGCCAAGGATTTCATTTTACTTGGCTCTACATATAATACTCATGGATGCAGCAGTTAAGAAGTTAAGTGATATATTGGGCAAAGCTGCTGCCTAACCCTCTTTCAGGTGTTAAAGAGGAAGGCTGTCAGTTGATGACTGAGGGGCGCCTGACTCAAGCCATGGTGTTTCATTCACCTCCTATGCATGTGAAAGTTGGACAGTGAATAAGATAGACTAGAGAAAATTGATGCCTTTGAATTATAGCATGGGTGAAGAATTATTGTGGAAATTCCTGTAGACTACCAGAAGAAAAAGCACATCTGTCTTGGAAGAAGTACAGCCAGAATGCTCCTTGGCAGCGAGGATGGCGAGACTTGATCTCACATACTTGGGACATGTCCTCAAGAGAGACCAATCCTTGGAAATGGCAAAGGGCATCAGGCTTCAGGCTTCTTAAAAGGGTCAGGGAACATAAAAGGAAGCCTCTCAGTGTAATGAATGGGCAGAGCAGCTATGACATTGGGCTCCAACATATGAACAATGGTGAGGATGGTGAAGGACTGGGCAGGGCTTGGTTCTGTTGTGCAAAAGGTTGCGGTGAGTCCAAAGCAACTTGACAGCAGCTAACATTGACCTTGACCAACTGATTGAGAGAATCTCACAACGAATGCAGATTGGTAATGTAATACAAAGAGGTAGTTGGTAGGGATGTTTTCCTGTTCTTTGAAGTACCTATTTTGAAGAATTTCTAGTGTAGATCAACGTCTTGTGGCTATCACGCTGTTCCACCAGTTTTTGCTTTATTTTTCTATCTTACCCCAGATGATTTTGAAGCCTTTCATTGGAAAATGAGTGTATCTCCAAAGATGAAGGTTTTTTATTGGAAAACAAAACCACAATTCTTTGGTACACATTACACAAGGAACACTGATTCCTTTAAATCATTGTCTTTAAGTTCTCATGATTGTCTCCCAAATGTCCCATTTAAAGCTTAGTTTGCTCAAGGTCAAGAGTAATTTATAGGTTACAATGAACCAAAACACCAAGGCCACTGTCATCAAATCAATTCACTCTCACAGTGACTCTGTAGGATTGGGTAGAATTGCTCTGTTGGGGTTCGGAGGTGGTAACTCTTCATAGAAGTAGACTTCCTGGCCTTTCTCGGCAGGGCAACTGGTAGATTTGAACCATCAACCCTTTAGTCAGCGGCCTTCTGCTTAGCAGACTGGCCAAAAGTGCTCCTTTTAGTTGCATTAGTTGTGTGTTTTCAAAAACATCATTATTAAAATGTAGACACCGTCCCATAAAACTCACCCATGTAAAGTGTATGACTGACACAGGTGCATTTATAAGGAATAGAGAAGGAAGCCCCCCCCCCTCCCATTGGTCCTACTGAGGGGGTTCATGGCTTATGCTGGAAGCTAAAGGTACTGGCATTTCCAATGTCAGCAAGAATACCATGGTGGACTGGTTTCAGTGGAGCTGCTAGACTAAGCCGAGGAATAAAGGCCTGGCGAAAACCCTGGATCCCTGCAGAATAGCGTCTGATATGCTATTGGAAAAAGAGCCTCCTATCCCAGGTTGAAAAGCACCCAGAATACATGGCGGACGAAACAATGGACCAACAGTCGTAAAGGGCAGGACTGGGCATGGTTTGGTTCTGTTGTCCTTGGGGCTGCCATTAAGTCAGAGCCAACTCCAAGGCAGCCGACAAAAGAGAAGGAAGCAAGAGGTTCCTGGATTAGCTTCTCCAAGACCGGAAAACTCACCGCCACACCCTTTCCAAGATGCCAGCTTTCCCTCTCTGCAGCCAGGTCACTGGTTCTCACGGCCTTCTCCCTGCTCTCGTTTCACTGTGACCGTGTGGGACTCTCCCGCCAGCTTATTGTCAGTGCCTGACGTATGTTGTACGTTCATAAATTTGAGATTAGGTTTTCAAAAAAATTCTGTTCGTAAACAATTTCAGATTTATAGTCACTGAAGACGGCGAGGTCGGGTTCTATACTCTCTATCCCAGTAAGTCTTAGGTGCTGGTATTTTTGCCCTGTTTGAATGCATAGGTCCTTGTGAAAGCTCCTTCCTCTGTTGCGTTTATTTCCCATGAGTCATCGGCTTTGGTGAATACATGTAGTATGTGTGACTGGTTACTTAGGAATTCCTGAAGGAAGCAATGGTGATTTCTTGTGATGCAAATATAAACACTGTGCTAAATAAGTAACTAATGATGTATTCCAACACTGGCTATTGACAGGTTCTGTGGCTAAGAACTTCTTCACTAAATCAAAGCTTTCCATTCCAGAACTCTCCTATATATGGTAAGTATGATTAATGACACATAATATCGCTTATCCTTTGGCCTCTATCATTGCTTCCCCCCCCCTCCCCTGCAATAGCTTTATCTTTTGAATGTGTTTAAGCAAGTGAGTCCAACCCGGATCTGTGTTGCCATGAAGATGAAAGAAGTTATTATCTGGAAAGCACAATGAAGAGAAGCGTGCCTGGCACAGAGTATTAGCTATTATTTTCAAAAGGATTTCCTAATTATTGCCCTCATTGAAATCCTATTTCCGGTGCGAGCATATTAGAATGTCGATCTTGCATATTCTATTTCCAGAATTTTTCTTCTTCTTGGCATGACACAAATCCCCCAGGACCTTGAAAAACCTATTTATACTATTTCCTAAGGCCAGGCAACCAGATAAGGCCAAGGGAGGTTGGAGGTTCGGGCAGCCAATTTGAAGATTCTAGAAGCCTCTTGGCTTCCTCAGTTGGCTGAGTCAGCTGGGCCTGAATTTGGATTTGCAGCTGTGGCGTCCTTCCACTGCCGAGTCGGCGGCAGCTGGGGCCCCAGAAGGGTGGGTCTGGCCTGCACAGATGGCTCCCTTTGCGGCTATGAAAATGCTCGGGGCCTCTGCAGGGTGTGAGTGAGTTCTACCTTGGACTGGGCAGGAGACCCCAGGGCAATAAATATAGTATGGAAATATTGGAATGTTTATGCATAGCGCCCCCCAGCCCCTCCCCTGAGGAATTTGCAAAAATTATGAGAGGATTTAAAATCTTGTCATGTGGTGCCCATCTCATTGGAAAATGATTTCGGAACGCGGTGGAGGTGCCTGTGCAAAATATATACAAGCTTAATGCTGTTGTTTTCCCGAGCCTTCTATTCGCTCTGAAAACTAGGAACAAGTCATCATATGATCTGTTTTGAGAGAATTCTCTGCCCTAACGGTGGCCAAGAGGCTTCCTACCTTATTGCGGAGACAGCCCTGAAAGGGTAATGGTCCTATCTCCATCCAGCCCCTGAGGCAGGTCCTTGGCTTCTGTCTCTGGGAAACGGTGATGTCAGGGTTAAAACACGACCCTAACCCCAAACCCGGTGCCTGGCAAGTTGTCACCAACTCAGAGCAACCCTGACAGGACAGGGAGAACTTCCCCCTAGGCTTCCCAATAGAAGTCACAGCTTTCGCCCGCAGAGGGGTTGGTGCACTCAAGGCACTGCCCTTTCGGTTAACCTCTGAACACTCGGTGTCACCAGGGCATTTGTTGTTTCCTTGCCATTGAGTGCCTTCCCCTCCTTGCGACCCTCTAGACAGGCTGGGGAGGAGCTGCTCCCTAGGGCTTTCCAGGCTGCCTGTCTCCCTCTTAGCAGCTGGTGCGTTCAAACTGGGACCCTTGTGGCTGAGTCGCCCGAAATGCAACCCACGCTGCCATCTGCCACTCCTGGCTCTTGCTGCGTTGAGGGTTAGTGTAGTCTAGGTATTTGAGACGGTCTCGGGGATAGGACGAGGGAGCTCCAAGAAGTTTGTGGGAAAGTTCTATTTTCAGTCCATTTTCTCATGGACGTTTGGACCCTTCCTTGTGCGTTCGAACCCTTCCTCGTGCGTTCGAAATAAGGAGGTCCTGGAGCTCACCTTAGATCATCTTTCTTTCCGTGAGGAAAACGCTTCTCGGACCATTCAGGATGGGTTTAAGCTCTGCACTTGCCCAAGGACATGTCTGTTCATCTGTGCCCCCTCAGAGACTGGCCGAGCTGATGGCATCTAAGAGCCCTCTTTTGTGCTGAGGAAATCGATCTGTGCCTTGTTGTGTGGAACAATGAGCTAAGCCTTTTCATGAGCCTTCCTCTGTGCCTTTCAGTCTTATCTGCTTCCAGCTGCCCCTTGCCACTAGCTTTATCTTAAATCACAATTCAAGAAATAGTTCTTGAGCTGACTTGTATTTTCCCAGGAGGCAATTCTCCAGCAAAGAACAATTTGATACAAAAATGCCCACGGCTGGAAACATCCATGGCTTGCCCTTAAAGTTGAGCAGGAAGATCTAGGGCACGGAAACCCAAGCTTTATATAAATTACAGAAGGGCTGGACACATGCGCCACTGCCCTGTGCAGTGTTCTTTAAAAAAAAAGTGACAAATACTGTATATACTTGAGTATAAGCCGACCCGAATATTAGCCGAGGCACCTAATTTGACCACAAAACCGGCATTAAAAATATTCTGAAAAAACTCGGCTTCTCCACGAGTATATACGGTATATAGGTACCAAAACATTTGACGTTTCAACATTCTGGTTAAGCATCATCAAGTCAGTTCTGACTCATAGGCACTGTGCTAGGCTGGGTTGTCTAGAGAAACACATGCAGCGAGACTCGTACATGTATAAGACAGAGATTTATATCAAGAAGTAATTGTATATCAAGAAGGCATCACAGCCCAGTCCAACTCAAGCCCCTGAGTCCAGTGCTAGCCAGGCTCTGCAGACTCCTGTAGCTGCAGGTGGTGATGCAGGAAAATGAAGCGAGATGCAGGGGGATCCACAGCACCCCCCCCCACCCCCGCATGCAGTCACGTGGATCCAAGGTTGGTGGGAACATGGCAGGATGTCGACAGCTTGGAGGTTGGCTTCTGGGATCAGCAGCCCACGTGGGGCCACCCCTGGAGGCAGAGTACCAGCAAGGCTGAAGGCAAAAGGCCAGGGAGGAAGAAGTTCTCCCTTTGCCCCCCTTCTGTCCCCTCTCTCACGGGTACACCCCTGAGGAGACATCATCAGGCTGTGATCCTGATTCTGCTTGATAGGTTGGACTCCAGCCCTACCTTTTCACAGAGGTGCATGTTGACATAAAATCTACCTCTCAACAGGGGGCCCTGTGTATCAGAACAAAACGCTGCCAGCTTCTGCACCACCCTTACAACGGTGCTGGTGGGGCCCGTGGTTGCAGCCGATGCGTCAATCCACATCATTTCGGGTCTCCTGATCACATGTCCAACGTATGTGAGACGAAGTCTCGCCATTCTGCTTCTAAGGAGCACTCTGGCCATACTTCTTTCAGGATGGATTGGCTCCTATTTCTGGCAGTTCATGATCCGCCAACACCATCATTCAAATGCATCAATTCTTTGTCAGTTTTGATCCTTTCCTTGTCCAGTTTCCACACATATATGGGATGATTAAAAAATATGAGTGCTTGGGCCAGGTGCACTTTAGTCCTTAACATGACATCTTTCTGTTGGACTACTCTAAGGAGGTCTTGTGCCGCAGATTTACCCACTGCACGGCATCGTTCAATGTCTTCTCTGCTGCTTACGTGAGCGTTGATTGTGGATCCAAGTACAACGAAATCCGTGACAACTTGCTCTCTTCTCATTAGGATTGTGCAGCCTATTGGTCCAGTTGTGAGGATGTATAATGCAGTGACCTTAGTCATGATTAGGATGTTGTTATGCTAGCGCAAGAGCCCTGGGGGGAGGGTGCAGTTGGGGGTTTGAACCCACCCATTGGCTCTGAGAGATACAGGCCGGGCAATCTGCTTTCAGAACGTGACAGTCTAGGAAACCCCAGGGGGCAGTTCGATACTGTGGCATAGGCCCCTGTGAGCCGGCGCCAGGAGCCCTAGGGGTGCGTGATTCTGTGCTCACTGACTAGGTGAATGGTTGGTGGTTTGGTCCCACGGGCATTTTCATGGGAGTTAGACGGAGTGATCTGCTCCACTCGGTGGCTGTGCTGCCTTTGCCCCCTAGGAAGTCTCGGGAGTCTGTTCTACTGCATCACACAGTCTCTGTCAGTCCACAGTGGATTTGATGGCATCTAATAACAACGTGTTATTCGGTCACAAGCAATCTCCCAATTTTTCTGTTGCCCTCGGTAGAAATTCAGTGTGCTTAAACCAAGAGCCCCCCTCTTATTCCCTGTCTGGTATACTCAGTGGTGTAAAACGGATCACAGGGAGCCTAAGTCCTTCATATTTTGATGTGATCAGTGCTGCTGGTAACTTCAGTGGGTCACATGTTGGGCTGGGACCCACTTCAAAACTGCCAGCTGCTCCGAGGGAGAAAGAGGAGGCTTTCTATGACCATACAGAGTTGCGGTCTCAGAAACCCACAGAGGGCGTTCGCTCTTGCCTTGTTGCATTGCTAAGTGTTGACATAACTCGATGACAGTGAGTTTTGAGTGTGGTACCAATGCGAACGCTGGGGATCAGCATCTTCCTTCCTTCCAGTGACCCCGCAGCTTGCAGAGGTCTTGAGGGTGTGGAAGAGAGCCCGGGAGTGGGTGGTGGTGATGTGTGCATGTTATATCTGTATGTATGTATGTGTGTGTACATGTCCACGTATGTGCTGGGAGTTGAGTCACTTTCCTTCCAAGTCCTTTGTTGAGACCCATGGCATCTGTTATCTTTAGGGAACTCAGTGATGCTGACTGTGACGGGGCCCTGACCCTGCCTGAGTTCTGTGCTGCGTTTCACCTCATTGTGGCCCGGAAGAACGGCTACCCGCTGCCCGAGGGCCTGCCGCCCACTCTGCAGCCAGAGTACCTGCAGGCAGGTAAGGCCTCAGCCTCAATCGGGAACTTTTTGATTCAGACTCTAGAAGTTTCTTTTTTTAAAAAAAATCATTTTATTGGGGGCTCGCACAGCTCTTATCACAGTCCATACATCCATCCATTGTGTCAAGCATATTCGTACGTTTTCAGAACATTTTTTTCCTACTTGAGCCCTTGCTATGGGCTCCTTAATTTTCCCCCTCCATCCCCTACCCTCCCTCCATCAGGAACCCTTGATCATTTATAAATTATTATTATTTGTTCATGTCTTAACACTGACCGATGTCTCCCTTCACCCTTCTGTTGTCCATCCCGCTGGGAGGGGGTTATATGTAGATCATTGTGATCTGTTCCCCCTTTCTCCCGACCACCTTCACTTTACCCTCCTGGTATTGCTACTCTCATTGTTGATCCTAAGGGGTTTATCTGACCTGGATTCCCTGTGTTTCCAGCATGTACCCATGTACATGCTCCGGTCTAGCTGGATTTGTAAAGTAGAACTGGGGTCATGATATTAGGTAGGAGGAAGCATCAAAGAACTAGAAGAAAGTTGTATGTTTCAGCGGTGCTATATTACATCCAGATTGATTCTTCTCTTCCTTGTGACCCTTGTGTGAGGGGGTGTCCAGTTGCCTACAGATGGGCTGTGGGTCTCCATTCTGCACTTCCCCTCATTCACAATGATACAATTTTTTTGTTCTTTGATGCCTGATACCTGATCCCTTAGACACCTCTTGATCACACAGGCTGATGTGCTTCTTCCATGTGGGCTTTGTTGCTTCTCAGTTAGATGGCCGCTTGTTTATCTTCAAGCCTTTAAGACCCCAGATGCTGTATCTTTTGATAGCTGGGCACCATCAGTTTTCTTCACCACATTTGTTTATACTCCCAGGAAGGTGAGGATCATGGAATGTCAGTTTAATAGAACAGGGTGTTCTTGCATTGAGGGAGTACTTAAGTAGAGGCCCAATGTGCATCTGCTATCTAAATACTAAACCTATAAATATATGTACATAGATATATTTCCCCTTCATCATATATAAATATATTTATGTATCTACATGCCTGTATTTAGACCTGTATAAATACCCTTCACCTCCTAGTTCCCTCCTTTATTTCCGTTTACTTTCCTCTTGTCCCACTATCATGTTCAGCCTTCATTTGGGTTTCAGTAATTCCTCTCGGTGACAGTGCCCTTAATTAAGCCCTACCAGGCCTCCTACACCCTCCTGGCCATCAACTTTTGATCACTTGTTGTTCCCTTGTCCCTGGGTTTGTTAATACCATGTAGTTGGTGCCAGAACAGGAAAACATACTGGGGAAAGAGTGACTCACGCTGCACCCCACTGCCCTCATAACGTGTATGAAAGGGCGGGTCAGAGGGGAAAGAAAGTGCTGAGTCAGGGCTTGCTGGCTTTCAGCTTCCAGGAGCTTGTACCCCCAGCTAGCACCCATTTCTTCAAGGCTGCGGGAGAGCCTCAAAGCTCCCCAAAATTCACTGGCAAGCAGACATCAGGAGAAAGTGCTCTGTTTCCCCTTTGCTGTCTCTCCATCTTTCTCCTTCTTGTCTTCCTCTTGCTCTGATTCTTTTGGATGGAAGTGAAAAAGCGTTGATGTTGGGAGTGCCTTCTCGGAGAGCAGGGTCCGTGTAAGGTCCTAGACTCTAGGACGTAGAGGAACCCCAGGCCTCCTGGGCCCACCGTACCTCATGGTGTCTCTGGCTAGTGCCAGCTGCTAGCCTACTCTGCTGCTAACCGAAAGGTTGGCGGTTCACGTTTGTCCAGAGGTGCCTCCGCAGAAAGGCCTGGCGATCTGCTTCCCCAAACACAACCACCGAGAACCCTCTGGAGCACAGTTCTCCTCTGACCCGCGTGGGGGCGCCAGAAGTTGGAGCTAGGTTTGAAATGGGATTCGCAGCCTTGTATATTTGAGAATTCACCTCGCAAAGCTGCAGACAGCATTTTGAAGTCTCCAAACCCCGAGCTTTCATGGTCAGGGACTCAGGGAGTCTCTGGATGACTTTGTGGTTACAGGGGCCTCCTTTGGACTTGCTTCTGCAGGAGGGGCTCGGGTGGGGTGTGTCCGGAAAGATGAAGCCGTCTCCCTCTGCCGAGGGCCTGGGATGGGGACCTGTGCCCTTCAGGGCCTTTTAGCCAGGCTGGCGGCATGAACTTCCACAGAGACAACGTGAGCTCATCGCGCTCCTTTCCACTGAAAACACCCACAACAATGAAAACACTTGCACACCATTTCTGGGGCTTGTGGGATGTCTTAAATAATACATAGGTCTGGGCTAACAGAGCACTTGAGAGATCTCAAAAAAAAAAAACCCCAAAAAAACAACCCACCATTATGCTCATTGACAGTAAATTATAGGTAAACCCTGAGGGTTTCGTATTTACATTTTCAGTATTAATATTTAAAATTTTCTAATGTTTTATCACCCTGGGCAGGACCTTCTAGGTATTTTCTGTAATACTTTTATTGAGTCCTTCAAAAGTATGAATTTTCCTGCTCTTGCTGTAAAGAAAATTTGTGAGTGTGGGTGTGGGTGTGGGTGTGCGGGGTGTGGTTCACTCTTTGGCATCCATTTAATGCTTTTTTAAAACCTTAGTTCATATCTTGTTCCAGCATTATTCTAATTAATCCATTTTTAAACTTGACATTTTTTAAAATCCAGGCTTCTTTGTGGAGAGTAACCATTGGTCGAGGGCTTCATTGCTTGCTTTTAATGCAATACTGACACAGGAATTGTATCTGCTGTCAGGTTACCTTTAATTAAAATGACAACCCCCTTTCTCTAATGGGGGAAAACAGAATTGAGTGGGCAGGCACAGCAGCTGGGTGGTTAGGAGGGCTTAATTGTGTAAACTGTTTGTGCTTTTCCTGTCTGAAGTGACAAGGTGGTATACATTTTGACCAGGTAGTTCCCTCAAAGTGCTTTATTGTATACTTACTCTGAGAGGCGCTGCCCCTAAATGCTGTGTAAAACAGAACTCCCACCCTTCTGGAACATTCCAGCAGTTGCAGGCTAGATGTTAATTAAACCTATAAGCATGTCATAAATGCTCGGAAGGGGAAGTAGAAGTGAAACCAGTGGGTACCCAGCCTCCTGGGAAAGTTCTCCCTGTGTTTGAGGGGAAATGTGCAGGAGACACTAAGGACTAAGTAGGTAGAAGACAGTGTGTGTGTGTGTGTGATGGGTAGTGAGGACAGGAGATGTGCCTGGAAGACCTGAGAAGGTAGGGACTCAGGGCTTGGGGTAGGAGTGGAAAGTTCTGGCTGGAGGAGGAGGAGCCTGGGAAGAGGAGACTTGGCTGAGGCAGAGGTGGGGACCAGATCATAGGCAGTGTCATCTTTCGATCCCTGAAAACAATATGTTGCTGCCCAGAGAACAGATTTTGAGGGGCAGCCCGAAGATCAGGTAGAAAGTTACGCCTCCAGCATACCCTTCCACGGCAGCTGGGCCTTGTACTGGGGAGATGACTATGGGAATGGAAAGACATAGTATGTCAGAAAGTGGGTTCCCAGTTCCTTGAAGGGATTTGGTATTCTTGGGAGTGGTAGCTTCGTACATTATAGGACTTCTCAAAGACCCCCAATTCACTGCCACCTGGTGGATTCCACCTCATAGCAATCGTATAGGTTACTGGCCTCTGGGGTTCTTGGTCTTTATGGGAGTAGAAGAGTGGGCATTGATCACCTAGTCACATCTTGAGGGGTGCCTCTGCTCTGAGACACATGGGGTCACTATGAGTGGAAAGCTTCACCTGTAAATGGGTCGATTAGAAAGAAAACTCTTAACTTACTGTTGGATAAAATGCCGCCTCTCTTTTTTTCTTGTGTCTTTTTAAAAATAATTTCTAAAAAATCATTTTATTGGGGGCTCGTATAACTCTTAATCACAATCTATACATCCACCCATTGTGTGTCAAGCACATTTGTACATTTGTTGCCATCATCAGTCTCAAAACATTTTCTTCCTACTTGAGCCCTTGGTATCAGCTCCTCATTTTCCCCCTCCTTCCCCCTCCCCGCTCCCTCATGAACCGTTGATAATATATGTTATTATTTTGTAATATCTTACCCTGTCCGACGTCTCCCCTCACCCACTTTCCTGTTGTCCATCCCCCAGGGAGAAGGTTATATGTAGATCCTTGTAATCGGTTCCCCCTTTCTGAGAGGTAGAAAATGGAGGGACAGAGCGGAGGTAGAATTCAGCCAGGAATGTGAAGTTGAGAAAGATTTGATTTGAGGCAAAGAACTCCCAGGAGGGAAGGGAGCGCAGAAAGGGACAGGAGCATCTTGAGCTCCCAGGAGGATTCCGTGACCCAACAAGTTAGGTCAGGGAAGTCGCACCTGGCAGTGAGGCAGTGGGGCATATTTAGGGCTTGAGCCAAGGATGTATGTGCTGATAAGGGGAAGGAGGCTCTCTGATGCTGTAGTTGCAGGGGCTGAGTCAGGATATGGTCTGTGAGTGAATCATCTTGTTTTTCGCAGACCTGCTTCCTGGAAAACTGAGGGAAGGGGCTATACAGACCCAGCCCTGAGAGATAACCTCTTTGGAATGCTGGGGGCAGGGACTGCACAGTCCAGGTCTGGCCTTGAGAGGCGGGGGAAGGGGCCACACAGTCCAGCCGGCTATCTTTCAGGAGATCTGGGGGAAGCAGCTGCATGGTTTGGACCCGGCCCAAACATTTTCTACTCCACCTTCCCTGCACCCTCCGGTATCACCACTCTCACCACTGGTCCGGAAGGAATCACCTGTCCTGGATTCCCTGTGTTTCCAGTGCCTATTTGTACCAGTGTACATTCTCTGGTCTAGCCAGATTTGTAAGATAGAATTGGGATCATGATAGTGGGTGGGTGGGTGGGTGGGGAGGAAGCATTTAAGAACTAGAGGGAAGGTGTATGTTTCATTGTTGCTACACTGCACCCAGACTGGCTTGTCTCCTCCCCATAACCCTTCTGTAAAAGGATGTCCAGTTGCCTACAGATGGGCTTTAGGTCTCCACTCCACACTCCCCCTCATTCACTGTGATAGGTTTTTTTTGTTCTTTGATGCCTGATACCTGATCCCATTGGCACCTCGTGATCACACAGGCTGGTGTGCTTCTTCCATGTGGGCTTTGTTGATTCTCAGCTAGATGACACTTGTTTACCTTCAAGTCTTTAAGACCCCAAATGCTATCTCTTTTGATAGCCGGGCTCCATCTTCACCATATTTGCTTATGCAACACTTTCTCTTCAGTGGTTGTATCGGGAAGGTGAGCATCATGGAATGCCAATTTAATAGAACAGAGTGTTCTTGCATTGAGGGAGTACATGAGTGGAGGCCCAATGTCCATCTGCTGCCTTAATACTAAACCTATAAATAAATGCACATAGATCTATTTCACCATCATCATATATAAATATATGTACATATGTACATGCCTGTATTTAGACTTCTGTAAATACCCTTTGCCTCCTTGTTCTTTTCTCTATTTCCTTTTACTTTCCTCTTGTCCCACTATCATGTTTGGCCTTCATTTGGGTTTCAGTAATTCCTCTCAGTTACAGTGCCCTTGATCAAGTCCTACGAGGCCTCCCACACCCTCCTCGCCATCGATTTTAGATCACTTGTTGTTCTCTTGTCCCTTGGTTGGTTAACACCACTTCCTTTCCCCCACCTCCCCCTCTCCCATGCCCCCCCCACCCATCAGTCCAGTTGTTTTCTCCTCCAGATTGTTTATACAGCCTATCTTATCTAGATAGAGCTGCAGAGATAACATGCACACAAAAACACCAAGACAGAGCCAAACAAAGCAACAAAAGAAAAGAAGACAACAACAACCCAACAACAAACAATGACAAAAAAAGAAAAGAAAAGCCCGTAAATAGTTCAAGGCCTGTTTGTTGACGTTTAGGAGTGTTTTCCAGTGAGTCTGATGGGGTGCCATGCCCTGACCCCAAAGTCTATTTTTTTGTACTATCTTTGCTTTGCTCCCTTTGCTGTTCTGTTGCGCGCCCATAGTGTTTTGCCTCAGTGTGGTGGGGTCAGATTGGGTGCAATTCCGACACTGTATCTCTAGTGTTGTCCCCTGTAGGGTTATAGGTCAGTGAGGGATGTCGTGTCTTACAGTGGGGCCGGCCATATGGTCTTCTCTGTGTATTGGCTGCTCTGAGCAGGGCTATCGTCCTCAAGGCTTGGTGGGCTAGGCTGAGCTCCACTCTCTCTTCCTCCCCCTTCATTTGCTCCTGTGTGCTCTGATCAGACATGTCCCTCTCCCTGAGCTGCAGATTCAATGCTGTCCTCTGAAGTGAATTCTTCTGGGGGGAGGGGCAGGTGTCCATGTAGTTGGGATTGGAGTCGGGCCCTCAGACCTCTCCAATGGTTCCCTGCTTCATGCCGGTATGAAAATTTCTCTTGGAGTTGGATCGAGCCATAGTCCTGTAAGACGTTGTGTTTTAACCCAGAAAGAAAACAAAACAAAACAAAAAAAAACCGAACTGAACAGGTATATCCAGAGAACTCATCAGGGTCATGGTGTGGCCCACTTGGCATCAGTGAAATTCAGAGCAGATTGGGCAGGTGAGTTCCTTGTACTGCACAGCCTCCCAGGGTGACACCGTAGTGGCATCACTGCAGAGGGGCTGCGGTGGTCCAAACCTTAGGCTGGGTGGTAGAGGACCAATCCATGTCCAACATTTGATTTTGAAAAATTGTTTTTGGAAATGCCATTCGCATTTTGATTTCTGTAATAGCTTGTCTTGACAAATGTGATATGTAGCTGCTGCTGTATTACCAACCCCCCATCTGCTTTGTTCTCTTTGGACTATTGACAACTTTTCTCACTGTTGAGACATTTCTCTCCTAATTACGTTGTGACAAAAATGATGAAGCCTGATTTGCTTCTTTGAAATCGCCTGGGTGTGAAATATTAGCTTACCAGGCAGCCTGCTTTTTTTCCACATGCTAATTCACTCAGCGTCCCAATTAACAGCCTCTGCCATTGTCGTGTGTTGGAAGCACCCCCCGCCCCATGTGATCTTCTCTTCTTTGAAATCAGCAAGAATGGGTGCTGCTGTCTTTGTGGTTCCTGCTCACGAGGTGGGGGGGGGGAGCATTTCAAACAATTATCTTGAGCTTACATCGCTAGAAGATCCAGCCTACTTAGAGGCAACAAGAGCTGAACAGTGCATTTCCTAGTTTAAGTTTACAGGCTTGAAACTATTTACAAAATGCTGCTAGTAGCATCGTTAACAGATGTTGTGGTAGAAATAATGTGGAATATGATGATGAGGCTACAACATGACATTCTGAGAACAGGGATGGAGCCCCTTGCCAGGACAGCTGGGGTCCATTCCCTGCTGTTTCCCAAATGATCTTGAGTCTGCCACTCAACGACACTGTGCCTCAGTTTCTTCTTGTGTAAAATGGGGACAATTGAAGTATCGGGTTGTTTCTGTAAAGAACTTAAAATACTACCTCAGATTGATGCCTGTACTAAGTCGTGTATAAGAGAGCACTACTTTTTTCATTGTTTTATTTAACAAGCACAGAAATTTTGATAGGAAACCATGACCACTGTTTTTAGTATAAATTTTTATGTATTTTTTCCCTTAGCGTTCCCTAAGTCCAAGTGGGAGTGTGCATTGTTTGATTCTTATTCCGAGTCAATGTCAGCAAGCCAACAGTCCCGGGACGTGCATTGGAGTGAGGTAAAAGATCTTCATATGTTACGAAGTATGAATGTGTATAGTATGAATGCCATTGACCTAGGTTCTTTACAGATTCTGGGAAAATCCACCTTTCTAACAGTTTCTTCTGTTGTAGGTGATTCCTAGAGTTTCTGTCTTTGTTGATTGAAATTCTGGTTTTATTATAGTTTTGTATTCTCCCCCTAAAACTTGACTTGGTGAAATGAACAAAGTAGTTGTCTTGACTGTCCGTAGGCTGAATATAGATAGAACCAAACCAGACCAGAAGATGCTAGCCAAGCTCTTTAGTTTAAACGAGTTTCAAGTGCCTAGTGAATGTTTCAAAGTTGCATTTTTAGTAGCTGGCTATTCACAAGGTATAAGGAGCAAGAATAGCTTTGAGGGGAGGCTTGAAGAAGAATATCTCTGAGAGCCCCCGATCACATTCTAGGCTGTCACTTCTCAGGGTGTTTAGCTTTTGGATCAAATGAAGAGACTGGTTTGCATGATTCCCAAAAGAAGTCTGGAGAGTCACCTAATTAATGTTGGGCCATTAATGTATGGGCATCGCAAAGCGCTACATAATTCTTAGCTGCGGATCAGTAAATAGGCATGGTTATGGTCATGGTGATTATCATCATCATCATTGATATCAGTACCACCTCCAGTACGGGCACCAGGATGACAACTTAGGATACCTGATGTCCCCGTCGAGTGAAATGCCTGGAAACATTTTAACAAGTGAAGTTTTAGCTACAGACTCCTATGACAGGTCTCTGACCGTCGTTCACACCTTTCCGAAGTGATGGAAGTCAAAGGGAAGAGACGGGGCATTTCTGCAATTAAAAAAGAAGCTGTGACAGTTGACTGTTTGACCTGGGCTTTCACACTTTCACACCTCGTATGGCTTCCTGTGCTCCCCTGAGAGGGGAACAAGCCTGCTACTAGAGCGAGCGAGCTGATGCACCTCCCGCGTCTCTGAAACGGTGCCTTTGGATTGCTGCCTTCGTGTCACTCTCCTCTACAGGGTGCTCTTTGTGGGCAAAGGATGGACAGAAATGGGATCTCAGGATGGGCAACATTTGAAGAATTCTGTGTAAAATTAGTTCTTTGTGGACTGCATGTGATGGAGGAACAGTTACAGGAAGGAGTTAGCCATTCTCCGTGGTCCCCTGTGCAGTTGGACGCTTCTAGCCATTTCCAGAGAGGTCACTCTATGGACCAACAGTGCTTGCCTCTACAGCTGTTCTCCACGGTGCCCTGATGTGTGCAGTAGTTCCCTCCACATTTGGTAAATTACGAGGTGGGGAGGTGATTTCCTGAAAAGTGTCGGCAGTCCTGTTCTTTCTAGAGAAGAAGTTTGTTCCAGTTCCCCATGATAGATGGTGGTTGTTAGGTGTTGTCGAGTTGGTTCCGGCTCACAACAATGCCATGTATAACAGAACAAGACACTTGATGAGTCCTGCCCCATCCTGACAGTTGTTCCTTTTGTGCCCATTGTTGCAGCCACTGCGTCAGCTCGTCATGTCATGGGTCTTCCTCTTTGGGGCTGCCACTCTATTTTACTAAACATGCTGTCCTTTTCCAGGGATGGATCTCTCCTGATAACATGTCCAATGTCCATGAGACACAAAGTCTTGCATTCGGGCTGTACTTCTTTGAAGACAGATGTGTTTTTTCTCTTGGCAGTCTGTAGTACTTTCAATATTCTACACCAGCACCATAATTCAAATGCATCAATTCTTCACGCCAGAAGAGGAGTTCAAAAAGAGCTGGGATGTCAGTCTTAATAGCAAACAAATCAGAATTTAACACAAAATCTGTTAGAAGAGATCAAGATAGATATAATACAGCGAGGAAAGGATCAGTCAAGTAAATTTAACACTCATATATGCGCCCAATATTGGTGCACCTAAATAGGTAAAGGAAAGACTAACAGAATTGAATAGAGAAATAGATAGACTAAAATAATAGTTGGAGATTCAATATACCTTCAACTACTGGATCAAACATCTGGGGAAAAAGGGAACATCTGGGAAAAAAGGGATCAAGGAAATAGAACACTTCATTGACCATACACATACACGAGGGGGTACCCACCCCCGTAACAAACCAGATTTTTCCCAGAGCTATGTCTTAAAATTTTATAACATAACAACCTTATCACTTTCAAAGTACTCTCCATGACACTTCATACATTTGTTAAATCTGCAATTCCATTCTTAGAAACATTTTTCAAACATTTCTATGGATGGCAGACAGCAGCTTCCTCTTGTTTTTTTCCCCCCACCTCTTCTATGTTGTCAAATTGCTCTCCTTTCATGTCCCTCTTTATTCTTGGAAACAAAAAGAAGTCACAGGGAGCAAGGTCAGGTGAGTAAGGTGTGTGGGGCAAGAGAGGCCTGCTGCTTTTTTGCCTAAAACTGGCACACTGAGGTGGCTGTGTGAGCAGCTGCATTGTCATGGTGGCCAAAATCAGGCCTTTTTTTGCAGCACACTGTTACACAATCTTTTCAGAACCTCTAAATAGAAAGCTTGATTAACAGTCTGATCTGGTAAAACAAACTCCAAATGCACTACCAGTGGACATTTTCGTCCGTTTGGGAAGTTGAAGGACATCCAGAATGAGGTTTGTTATCAATTGACATTTCACATTTTTGAAATGAGAAAACCACTCATACACTTGTTTTGCCCATAGAGCTGTCCTTACAAGCTGTGTTCAACATCACAACATTATCTGCAGCATTTTTCCCAGAGCTGGAAACAAGATTTCATAGCTGCACACTCTTCTTTTAAATTGGCCATCACAAAAATGAGGTTTGAGTGAAACTGATTTTACAGGAAAAAATCACTGTCCAGAGAGAACCTTTCCAGGTGACACCACTGGGTACACTAACTCAGAAAATGTGTAGTACGAAGCTCTTCCCAGTGGAGCTTTCCTATCTATCTATCTATCTATCTATCTATCTATCTATCTATCTATCTATCTATCTAATCTAGAGCAGGGGTCCTCAAACTTTTTAAACAGGGGTCAGTTCATTGTCCCTCAGACCAATTGGAGGACCAGAGTATAGT